ATTACTTTTATTATTTAGTCTTTATTAAGTCTCAGCACTAAAAAAGTTAAGTGCCGGTCTCCTGCAGGTTTTAGATCTCACCCTGGGTCAACACACCTGAATCGAATGATTAGTTCGTTACCATTCCTCTGGAGACGTCAAGACATGTTGAGGAGGTCATTTAACCATTTAAATCACCTGTGTTGGAACAAGGATACATCTAAAACCTGCAGGACACCGGCCTTCACGGCCTGGAGTTGCCCACCCCTGGTGTAGTGTGTGCAGTAATAACAAAGGCTCGGTTACCGTTGCAGTAGAGGCGTAATCTGCAGGGTAAGGCGTACGCAGAAATGGTGTGCTGGTACACCAAGGCAGAGAGACTCCCTGCAAAGACACAAAGCAAATCACAGCTCCAGCTGAGTACAGATAAGCAACTTTCTGATTGGCTATTTGAAGAACAATAAAGTTTGTACAACCTACAGACTTTTGTTATGACACAGAGACTCACTACAGTAGAAATCCTTCTGCTGCTATGATGACTGCTTTTCCATATTTCAGTGACAACATTACTGTAACGTTACATATCTGTTGCGACAGACATATCAGTACGTGCCCATGGGTGTCTGATTACAAACCAGTGACCCACACTACTGATAAGAAAGGTTCTTTGGGTGTGAGAATACACACCCTTTGTACTAATGCTCAAGGGTAAGATCCATGGCACTCACGTCCACCCACATCCCAGGAGGCGAGAGCTCTCTGAGTCAGAGCAGCACTCGCTTTTTAAACAGACGAGTGAATTCTCGGCGGGTATGAAACTGATAACTCGACTCACCGAAGTAGGGTTCCTGAGAAGAGCCTTTAATGCGCACGCCTTTGGCTGATGATTCAATGAGGAAGTGTCTGATAAGGTCAGAGCTGCTTTCCCCTGTTTTGACAAAAGGACAAATGTCAGAGAATGAAATGCACACAGAACGAACAATATATGAAGGCAATGTGATAAAGAAGCACTGGAATAACCCTTTTCTTCAAAAAAGAAGACACAGAACCACATAATTGCTCGTGTTGACGTCAGTGGCTGTGTGGCACCGCAAGATGTTGATCAGCGATTGGCGAATGTAACCTACGAATTCTTTCACCCGGCTTCAGCGAGCGCTGCTGCACAGGATTCCCAAACCTTTCGAAATGTGAGCTTGTTCTTAAAAGGCGCTGAGGCAGAGCCGCCTCTGCACAGCACTGAGACCACAATGATGGAAAAGAGGCATTAGTTACTAATGGCGCTGGATGGCAGTGATTCTCACTCACTATGTGTTAACAGACCTCTCTGCATTGAATCATATCTGTTATTAA